GGGGATCGAAAATTTGCCAAAATTGCCTCAAGTAATTAATGGATGCCCCCTCACCTAACTTTCTGTCGAATTTCATGTTAATATATTTAAAACACGATTGTTTCATGTTTAAAACAAGTCGTTTTAAACATAACATGTTATTTAAGACAGGGTTGCAACCCTGTCTTAAATGTAAATTAGGTATTGACCTAATACTTATTAGAAACTATAATTAAGTATACTTATTAGAAACTGAATTCCAATTAATTAAAACTTAAGGAAACCCAAGATTTTAAAAAACCGTTGAAAAATATAAACAATTTCAACTCGATACTAAAAAACATTTAGGTTAATTAGCAATTTGAAGCCATATTTCTAGTTGGTCAAAAAAGTAAAGGTATCATTACTTACCACTTGTTGATATGCAAAATTCGTACTACAAATGGGTAAAAGTTCACTTAACACAAAGCGCAGAACAGAAGCAAAGCGCAATTAACAACACCGTCACGGTGTTGTTAATTGCGCACCGTGTCGTGAATGACAAAGAAATGGCGTGACGCCATTGGCGTCCCTAGTAGGGATGGGCAAAACTAACCGGTTATTTCATAACCGGTTATTTTGATATAGGTTAACCGGTTAATATCCGGTTATTCATCAACCCCAGTTAACCGACAACCGGTTTATTTTTTTTCAATAACCGACAACCGGTTATTCTTAAAATGCTTTCGAATAATCTGCTAAATGGAAAACACTGAGCTGCTAAATGCTGATAAATTTTTTTACAAAATAACCAGAATAAAATAAAATCACCAAATCTGGAGAAATTTCACCAGACCTGACAAACCAATCAATGATTGGCAATCATGGACTTTCTCATTATTAGTTTATAGACCAAAAATGAGATGGCGCTTTTGTGTTAATTTTTTTTTAAATACACATATTTTATGTTTCCAGTGACTTATTAATTAATTTGTTCTTATTATCTGTTTAAATGAGATTACTACATTGATTTTAATTTTACAAGTTTTTAAAGAAATTACTAACTTACACCAGTATAGAAAATAATTATTCTAAAAAGTCGCCAGAAAAGGTTATTATTAACCGGTTATTGCATAACCGGTTATTTTCTATCCAGTTAACCTGTCTTAGGTTAACTGGTCTCTAAAAATAACCGGTTAACTGTTAACCGGTTTTTTTACAATAACCGCCCATCCCTAGTCCCTAGACGATCTAGGATGGCGTCACAAAACATGGCGTCTTGCCCATATATGGAAATTCCGCTGCAGAATTCAACATACTTCCACAGATGGCGGCACTAATAAGAATTCGTCATATACTTACCGTAAGTATATGGAATTCGTATCTTTCAAAAATATGATTATTCTCGATTAAAAATTAACTAACAACTTTAATAAATCCGTATAGAAAGCACAAACTTACAGTACGAGAATTTAAAACAACTTTCCGAACAGGTTCCTTTAACAATAGTTTTTTTAAATTCTCGTGCCAAATTTTTACCTGTTAATTTTTAGCTGTTGGTTTAAACTTTCAATTAAAACCATCTAGGTGTCAATTTATCGTTTCAAACAGGCTGTTTGGTGGCTATCCTTAGGATGTCTGTAGGACATCGTAATAAAATTAGTAAACATTGGTGTGCACACCAATTGCTGTGTTTACTAATATATTACATATAGGCGACGCCTATTAGGCGTTGAACTCTTCACTCAACGCTATAGGTTTGTGCACATTTAACTGTGATAACATTATTTTAGTAAAATATGCACAAACCTATTAATTTGCTGTTTTTATTTCGACGCCCTACAGACGTCCAACAGACATCATGAGGATAGCCACCAAACAAGTGTCAATTGATCGTTTTCTTTGAAAATTTAAACCAATTGGTTTAATATGTTAACATGGTAAGTAGGTTCCACATTTCTTAAATCGCATGTACCTACCTATTTGTTTTTTAATTTTTTAAAGTAATATCAAGAACAACGCTGTTAAATTGACACCTGTTTAGTGTCTATCCTTAGAACGTAGGACGTCTATAGGACGTCTGTAGGACATCGTAATAAAATTGGTAAAAACAGCACATTTTATTATGGTAATTAAAACATTATCTTAGTAAAATTTGCACAAAGCTATTAATTTGATGTTTTTACCAATTTCATTACGACGTCCTAAAGACGTCCTAAGGATAGCCACCAAACAGGTGTCAATTTATAGTTTTAATTAAAAGTTTAAATCAACAGCTAAAAATCAACATGGCAGGTACTAAAATATGTAAAAAGCAGACGGTCGTGGGACGTCCTCAGGATATCGGTCGGGTGAGGCCCTAACTAGGATATCCGTAGGACGTCTCATGCTATCTATATGTAGTATTTGTGTTCTTAAATTCTTAAATCATCCATTGTTATTCTAATGTTTTAAAGATTTATACATTTTTAACATAATATTATTTCTTTCGTTGACTATACTTTGACAGATACATAACCTGAAAAGCCTTAAATGCCAAATTTTCAAAAGACTGCGTTCCGTACGTGGTCATGTGGTGGGACTTTGAGGTGGAGCATAGTACCACTTTGAGCAGAAGCAAGTTTTAACGTACATGCGTTTCACGAAGCCATCCACCCATAGACACGTGAATTTTCCAATCTTGGAAAATCCACTAAATCTTTTGTACAAATCACAAAATACCTCGGTAAAAGGTCAAAGCCTGCGATATTGTTAAAAAATACAGGTATATTTCTCATATACCTATAAAGCCGGATTTATAGTTTGACGGAACGGAACGGAACGTAGACGTAGACGCACTGGATACGTAAAAAACGGACTGTAAAAAAGTATTCAATTTATAAATCGACGGAACGGACTTTTTTCGCATGCGCCGTCTTGCCTGTGTTTGTTTAATTGTGTTTAATTCTGTTTCGTCTTCCGTGTCACAATGGATTATGAAATACATGAAGGTATACTTTTTGGTGCTGTGGGTCTACTGTTGTGTGCAGCAGCATTGAAAAATTGTCGACAAACTGGAAAAACAATAATTAGGCGCCCAAGACGTTATAAAACAAGACCCATTAACCTTAACAGAAAAGTGGAGAATGCCTACAATTATTTTTTAAAAATGAAAATAGTTGATCCAGATCAGTTCTTTAAGTATACGAGAATGACTGTATTTAATAAGTTATTAGATGTCCATTTTTTAGCACAAACACAAATTTATAAACCTCAGATCACAAAAAAACAACTATCAAATGTCCTTTATAATATTGTAATAATTATTAATAGTCGTTATTTTAAAATGTAGGTGGGGTTATGTTTACTGGTTTCCTATTGGCCAGACGTAAGAAACGCACTGTAAAAGATAAATGTTGACCAACTCTTCCGTTTCAGTCCGTTTTGCTTACGTTACGTCATACGCTTACGTTCATTTATAAAAAAGAGTACATACATTCTAAAGTTGATCTTTTTGCAGTGCGTCTACGTCTACGTTCCGTTCCGTTCCGTCAAACTATAAATCCGGCTTAACTCATAACTTATAGGTGTATGATATTTATATACCCGGAATCCAATTTTGTCCAACCTGGGTCAAAGTTTCATACTTTTTCATCGACCGATGGCCCAGAGCTGAGAATGCGATGCACTACACACGAACAGTGTTGCCACCTATAACTTTTTTTTCGTAATAGACGCATGCGTCAAAATGTAATATATTTGGGATTTAAGGTAATGGCACAGAAGAACCACACACTCTTCTGTGGGAATAGACTATTTTGAAGCAAATTTTTTTGATTCTTTGACGTTTTACCGTTGTCATTAGAATAAAATTGAATTTTCACATGATGCTAGCATCATGTGAAAATTCAATTTTATTTTAGTTTTTATTTAATTAAAATAGCATAAGCATCATGCACAGATTATAAAGCTTTATAATCTGTGCATGATGCTTATGCTATTTTAATTAAATAAAAACTTTATAAACACAAATTTAAGCACACAATAAACGTCAAACACTCAAGCAGTGTTGCCGATAAATTTCCATAAAAAGAATAATTATCTGTTTTGTACGATAATAATTATACGTACGTACAATGTACGAAATCACATGTAAAATAAAATTAAAATGTACAATAATTTTATGTAAATCAAATTGCACAAGGGAATAAAACTACCCAATATTAACAAAATCTTAAAGTTTGGATAAACAAGTTTATTTTAATTAGCAAGATTTAAAACACTTATATTATAAAAACCTAGAAAAATTTAATTCTACAATAGTTTTGATGCGCTGCGACAATAATCTTCTGATGTCTGTCCACTGAACTGGTTGTATAGTTCAGTGGGTCTGTCTGACAAGTTGCCAGTGGCAACAATAGGACCACAATAGAATATTTAAAAAAAAAATCTACTAGGAAAAAAAGTAATAGATTTACATCGTTTCGTAATAGGGTAACATATTTTCTCTAAAAGTAACAGATCTATTACTAAAGTAATAGAGGTGGGAACACTGCACACGAAAGACAAAATCGAACTCGCTAAATTTCAAATTTAGCGAGTTCGATTTTGTCTTTCGTGTTAGATATTAAACAGATATGTCGCCGGCCAAATAGCTTTCAAATTAACTAAAGGCCACCAGTGTCAGAGATAAGATAAGTGTTTATTCCGTCATCCGATGATAGAATAATTCATTCTGTAATACTTTTAGTAATATATGTAATTCCACATCAAAAAGTGAAATTAGAATGGTCATATTTAGTAATAGGAGTAGAAAAAAACTCGGACGTTTCGGAAATTCATTTTTGAAGTTGGCAAAATTGCAAAGCAGTAAGTGTTGCCAATAAGGGAATACTTTCGAGTTTCAGACTATTTCGAGTGGTTTAACGACTTTGATAAATAGCCTGTGTAATAAAATAATTATTTAAATTTAAATGGATCTATCTCTGGAGCTGTGAGTAAACCCAGGAACTTTTGAGAAATTGGTAAGTTACCAATGGTAACATCAGTTGGCAACACTGCTTGTCATTTTTATTGTAACGTAACCTAAAAGAGCTGATGTCAAACTTAATAAAAACAGTGTAAATAAACGAAATTACGTCAAAAATATTATGAATAATATTTGTTAGACGTATTAGGTAAGTATTTTGTGTAAATTAACGATAGTTCTGCTTAAATAAAGTGTTTACAGGTAAAATCATGAAATTCATTAATGATGTATGTTTAGAGTATATCATTCTGTATTATTTGGATGTGCAGAAGGATGTTTTATCGGGAAAAATTACGGAAAAGGTTTTTATTGATGGCATGCACAAATTTTGCTGTAAATATAACTTTAACTATGAGCATGCAAAGTTAAAAAGGTACTTTCATTATCTGCAAAATACATTTACTGAGTTAAAAATGAAAAACGCAGATTTAAATTGGGAATACTATGAAGTTATAGATGGATGTTCACTACACAGTGCTTTTGCTATGGTACATAACAATTATATTTTAACTGAGGAAGCAATTTTGTTTGTTGTTGACTGTATTAAATACAGATTAAACCAACTAAATGAGCATCTTTTAATACCAAGTGTTATATTAAATGTTGTGAATGATATGCATGATTTTGGTATACCCTTGAAGTTCATGCATATAGAGGAAATTTGGGAGAAATACAAACATTTAGGTCAAGGCAAAAGATCGCAATTTTTTTACAAATATTTGCTGATGGTTTACAGGAATGATGTTGGAGATCTGGCTGGTGATAATGGTGTTCTTGAGTTCATGATATTCTATAATTTAACTTGGGATGAACTTTTATTTGAGTGGGGCAAACTGAATTGTGTATATAAGTTTATAAGAAGTAAAAGATACAATTCGAATTGGATGTTCTATGATGATTTGTTGAAATTTCATAATGATACTAGAGATGTTTCAATGCAATTATTATATATTCCTTTGGAGAGAATTATTTTTTCCAATGTTACTAAGAAGAGATTAAAAAATAATACAAAAAACTATGAAGTTAAATTAAATAGGAGTAAAAAGATGTTGAAAATAGCACAATCAAAGAAAAGTAACTCAGAAACGCTTAATTTGCGAAGTAAAGTAATATCAAAAAGTGGTGAAAAGAAAAAATTTAAGGAAACAAGAAAAAATCTAAAATCAGTTAGGAAAAAATTGTTTCAAAGCAATAGTGATAGCTCTACAAAAGAAAGTATAGCTGACAATATGGAAACCATACACAAACAACCAAAAAGAAAATGTAACGAAACCAAAAATATTAATTTTTTATGTGTTAGCGATGTCATCACAATATCTGACTGTGAGTGTAATTCAAACAAAAAAGATTGCAATGAATCCAAAAAAAACGATTCTTCTGATGAGAGTGAGATTATCAAACAAAACGGTGCCATAACGAAGATAATAGAAACATTAGAGAGAGGTAAACAGAAAGAAATGTTGGAAGAGTTGATAGAAAACATAACCAACAAAAATAACACGTCAAAAAACAAAGAGAAAGGTAAAGAAATCGTGAAACCCAACACCGGGGAAGCCCCGGGAAACGCATCGACATCGCGGGCGAAAACCGTCAAGGAGGCCATGAAAGAACCAATCAGAATCCTCTCCAACATACTTCTAGTCCCCGCCTTCACCAAGCCGCCAACCAAAGAAATCGAAACGGATTACGCGAAGATGATCGAAAATTTCGAGGAACTGCGCAGCCTCAGCCGACGCAGAAAGTCACCGCGCGTGCGCAAACAAATTTACAACAGTCTGTCGGATACGCTGAGATGCGAGAAAAAACGTTTGAAAAAAATGGTGGAAGTAAAGGAGGATTATAAGCAAAGGAACGAGTTCCTTACCCTGTTTAAAGAAAGGGTTAATACGACTGTTTGTTAAATTATATGTTATAAAAGTGATTTTTTGTAAAAACGGCCTAAATATTTAAATATGGCCAATTTTAAAATTCTAGTATGCCTATTTATCTATATTTAGTATGTCTGTTTATTTTTATATTTATTATGTTAAGTTAAAATATAACATGTTCTGTTTGATGAAGTGCTTTTATTAACCCCTCAAACTATTCCATTTGTTCAATAATTTATTGCGTTCTGTGGCAACGTCCCTACGGGAATCTATAAATGGCACTAAAATTTTCGTATTGTTCATCTTTTACGGAAGAAAGGAAGGTAATCTATAAATCAGGATTAAAGCCGTTTTATAGATTGCCTTCCTTCCTTCCAGAAAATCGTAGTTCAATTTATAGTTTTCCGTACGGGAATCTCAAGACTCCTTTCCGTAAAAGATGAACAATACGAAAACCGTAGTGCTGTTTATAGATTCCTGTACGGGAATTTATTAACAACACTTCGGTTTTAGAATTGTTTATCTTTTACGGGAGGAAGAAAGGAAGAACTATTAGGTGTTTTCGCGGTGCTAATCCCGCGGTGCTAATCCCGAACTAGTTCCAAGATACCTACCTGGAATTTTGTGTTTGTTACCAGCAGGTTACCAGAAAAGGTGATGTCTGTCAAAAAGATGCTGTGAAAAAAATGGCAACTAAAGTTTTAAATTTGTTTTGGTATCTATTTACATTTAAAAGTTTTTTATACATGTATCACACTAAGAAAGCGCCACCTTGCGCCAAATGTCAATGCTAAATAACTGAACAGCTGATAAATATTGATTAGGTACCAATCAAAATTTTTAGTGAAAATTCGTAAATCTATCCAAGTTTCTAAGTCGCCGCGGTGCTTGCCACCTCTGATCCCTGGTACGGATAAATGTCCGGATTTTACCCTTCCCCCGGGCGAATATTTGACTAGAGAACTCAGGATTTTTCGAACGAAAAGGTTGGCAACGCTGGGATTAGCTCCGCGAAAATAACTAATCTACAAATCAGGATTTAGGTTGGTAGCAAGAACACTTATTTGGTTACATTCAAATAGGTTAGGTGTTCGTGTAATCCACTTGTTGCTTTAAAATGAACGAAAAAGAAGAGAAAATCATTTCCGTTTTCCTGACGAACTGCTTGAAATTGGCGAGTGAAGAAGATTTAAACGACAGAACAACGTTTATAGAAGATGTCAATAGAATTATGAGACGAAGTGGTTATAATTTTACCAATGAAGTCCTAATGAAAATATGGGAAGATTTAGTCGATAAATTTGTGGAATTGAATATTACAAATGATGAAAATATAACATGGAGATATTTTAAGTATATTAAACCCAAATATGACCCAAACTTGGGAGTTTTTATAAAACACATAAAAAATGAACCTTTTGAAGCACTAGAACAAACAATTGTACATATTTTGGACACAAATGTAAAAGAGGAAGTTAAAACCGAAGTCGAATATTCCGACGAAAGATTTGACAATTTATTTGGACAATTGATATCCTGCGTAAAACACCAAAACATTGAAATCGAAGAAATTAAAAGAATGGTTGGCATTAATACCACCCTTTTACAAGAAACTGTTGATGCAATATACTCCACAAATAATTTATAAAAAGACTGATTTTATTTAATTTATTTTTGTACATTTAATATTTATTTTTAATTGTAATAAATAAAGCATTTTTAATAACATTTTTGTTTTACTTTGTTTTAGTACTACATCAGAGTCGACTTAAGATAACAAAAATACAAGTTGTATATCAAACAACACCTACAGAATAAACTTGTTAAGTTGGCAACATTTATCCATTGACAACGCGTTCCCTTACGTTGGCAACAATGACGCAGTGTTGTTTTTATCGAGTAGAGAAAATGTTTCGCTTCAGATGTTATCTAAACGCTGTGGCGTTTATTTAAAATAAAAATCGATACTTTGCTTACTAATAGACATACTAACATGTAATACCGGTAGATAGGCAGTGTTTTTATTGCAATTTCGTGCCGTTTTAAGTATGATTATATCACCGGTGTTTTTTAATATGAAAATTATTGTTAAGGGTGGTTTTTGTGAGACATTTTTGTAATATAAGGAAGGGTTTATCCAATGAAAGTGATGGGTCATATTAGACTGCATAAATGGTAAGTTGGATGAAATTCTATGATTTATTAAAGTTCACCCTCCTTGTGGGATACGAAAGGAGCTAAAATGTATTGTTACAGTAAAAGGAAAAAAAGCAGTTTTTAAAGTTAAAATTGTTAAATATATTCTAATGCTTAATAACTTGAAAAGTACTCTTTTGAGCTGAACTTTGAGCGAAGCACAAAAAGAAACTTTTTGTCCAAATGGCATGCAACTTTTTGTCCAACCGCATGCAACATTTTGTCTTCAAACCACAATTTAATTTGTTAAACAATACAAATTAAAGTTAGAAAGTGAGGTTAGATAGATCTGACAGAAGTCGAATTTTTGATTGGTCTAAATCACAGTGCTGACAACAAGTTTAATTATAAATTAAATAATTTAAAAATAGTACTACCCCAGCAAACACAACCATTAAGGTTATATAATTGCCCTTTATATTCGTGTTTTTAATAAACTAAAGGCTTTTTAAAGGCTGACTCTAATGGAACTTGTACATATTATGTGGTGTCCACCTTTAAAGGGGGATCGTGAAATATCAGACCCAATAAATATAAACAAACCACATTTATGCTGGATTTATGCAGCACAAATTAACATTAATATTAAGATTAACATTAAGAAGTTAAATGAACGTAATCCATTGGAAGCTTTTATGCAACACATTAACATTAACTTTAGCATTAAGTTAACATTAAGAGATGGCCAACTTTTATCTTCTTATGATAATGTTAATTTTTATTCCTCCTGCGCAGGTTTGCAGCGCAATTTTTAAATAAACCGTGTCAGTAATGCCAACATACCCGAAAAAAAATGAAACTTACTGCTGAATGATTAATTTTTTATTCAATGATTGTGTTCTTTGGTTTATTGTTTGTTGTGGAGTTTATAGTTTTCATTTATTTTGCTTAACAGATGCTAAAACGGGATTAAAACAAAATTCAAACAAATAAAAAATGTCAGATTTCAAAATTACTTTAACTTATACGCATGCTTAATTTGCTACTAATTTTGCTGCATAAATACCCTCCTATTAATGTTAAATTAATCTTAATCTTAATGTTAAAGTTAATCTTAATGTTAATTTGTGCTGCATAAATCCACCATTAATCCACCATAATAAATACTTGACTTATCCATTACATTAATTAATATATTTTCGTGAAATAAAATACTAAAATATTCATACATTTACAAGAAAAAATACAAAGCAATTTGTTGTAATAAAGCCCTGTATAAGTAAAACATAAACAATTTATTTTAAAAACTGTTTAATAGGTAATAAATGGAATCCATAATATTTAAAAAAATAAAAAAATCCTTAAACCAAATAATATTTTTAATTTAAATGTATTGTTACAAATAAGTTCACTTGATTTTTTTGGTAGATTGTCCTCTATAACAAAGAAAACCCGGTTTTCTTTGCCATTATTTAAATATTTTATTCGCAATTGCCCAAATTTTGACCTTGTCAATTAAACCTTTCTACTAAATTCTTTGGTGGTATTTTGTCTGTAATAAGAGTTCTAAAATTTGTAAAATTAAAAATGCACCTACTTACATAAGTACTTATTTAAATTTAACAACCATTAGGTATTATTATTTTTGTATGTGGTACCTATAGGCTATAACACACTATTAAAACTACGGGGATTACAGCGGGCGTCATTTTTAAAATATGGCGTTAACGAATGGGTCATTACATAATCAGACTTATATAAGACATATGTCTTTGCTGGGATAGTACCTATACTAAAAAATCAATTATACAAATACTTATTTATTTAAATAAAACAGTAAAAAAATTAAAATTCATAAAATATAAAATTATCAATTTTTTTAACCTGTACTTTATTACAATAACAAGTAATTAAACAAATAAAATAACACTGATACAATTTGACCCTTTTATTTATTTTATTAGATTATTTAACCACTATCAAAACACATCCCACACTTAAAAATATCAAAGCAAATTCTGCAAAGTTAATTAAAAATGTTAAATATTTTAGCACATTGATTTAGTACCTACCAAGTAATGCAATGTTACTTAAAAGTATTTTTTTTAATTTTTCCTTTACTGAAGGACTTTTGTGTAGCATTTTTTGCTTTTTTTATATATTTTTTTATTTCCTTAACGCTCTTAACATATAATTTATAATGTAATAAATCAAAACACTGCAATAAACTTAATTTCAACATAATAAAATACATACTTTTTTCAGTATACAAGTTGGAATATACAATTGGAATAATATTAACTTTTTGATAAAACAAAATATGTAAATATTTACCATTTCAAAATGTTTTTCTAAAATGATGATTCTGAACCCAAAAATTCCTTTTCTTAAAAAATGAGTAAAGATTGTTAAGTGTTACGGATCTTCTTCACAAAATTAATTTGCATTTAAAATTCTTAAACAATTAAATTTTCAATTCGAAAATCAATTACTTTACTGGATAAACAACATTTTATTCTATAAGAGTTATGTAAATCTACAGGATGCGTTTGTTAGTGTCATAGATTTAAATAAAAAAAAAAAATGGCACTTGTGCGAATTTAGTACTGATGTAAGTGTGCATCTTTGAGTCACGACTGAAAAAAAATCAATACGCATAATAGGCTTCATTGTTGGCGTTCATAAATATGCCCATAAAATAATGGATTTTAAATGACTTTAAAATTAACCATTGTGCATTTTTATGTTGTCTTTTATTTTTATGTTGTCTTTTATTTTTATGAATATGAAGTTAGCAAGGCACCCCCATCAAATATGTGATATATATTTTTTTAATACTTAATATTTTGCCGTTAATTTGTCGCTAATTAATTGTGAATGTATTAATTTTGTCGTTTGATTATTTTTTTGTTTTTTTTCGGCTGCTTTGCTAACTTTATATGAAGTTAGCAAGGCACCCCCCTTAAATATGTGATTAATTTTTTTTAATAGTTAATAGGTCATTCTTAATAAAAGGAGAATAGAGCTTAATGATTTAAAAAATAATGTTACTTGGCAACTTATATTTTTTTGTACTACTACACACATATAAATGTTTGTTTTCGGGCAAACAAATTCATATATTTAAATGCGTATACTAAATGGAAAGATATTATATTTAAAACAAATCTATAACTATTGATAGGAATTTAGTAATTTATTTTAACTGAATCTTTGATTTATTTAAAAGATATTTTATATTTTACTTTACAAGTGTATCTTAAAGCTATTATACTTTTGTTAAGACTATTGCCAATAATTATGTTGAAAATATGAAAACATTCATTTTAAATAGAACAATATTCATAAAGTAACGTATTCAATTACTTAAAAGTTTATGATATATTAAATAAGAATATTTAATATGTTTATTTACTTTAAAATTAAATATGTGAAATTCTTCAACAAAATAATTGCTTTCAAATATTTGAAAGTCTTGTTTTAAGACGATCATTCTTTTGAATGGGGAATATACGAATTATTTATTACAAACACTTCATTTCATCGCGCATATAGGAACTAACGGTATATTTAAAATAAATAACATACATTCACAGCAAACACTACGTTTTTTGTGTGTAGTTTGCTTAGTACTGCAGTAAATAAAATCTAAAATTTCCGAGCTCCCAGGTAAGAAAAATCTAAAAAAATCGTAGTTTTTCAAATAACGTATTAACGGAGGAGATAACATTTTCAACGGAAAAGAGAAAACTGTTAACGGAAGCCTATCGGCTACATATGTAAAGGAAATAAATAGATAATATGTACAATACAAATCATAACTCATATAAATATTTAAAAAAGCTTTTATTAAGGAATAAACAAACAAAACAAACTCTTATACTAACGATTATTTTAATATTAGTAAAAACTAGTATACCCCAGTAGATTATCTTTAAAAATATACGTATCTTTTAGTTCGTTAAGTTGTGGCCTACTTAAAACTTTTACTTTGGTCAATAACAGATATGTCAGATTTTTCTGGAAACTGAAATACCTGATTGCCTACTCTTTTCATAAAAGTTACAGTATATTCATTATTTTCATCTATCGACATTATTTTAGCTATATATATAATGACGAAAAAGTTTTTGCCGGAAAGCTTTACAATTACAAAAGAGTTAACATTAACAACTTTTTTTGGTTGCTTTTGGTAATACTGGATAAGAGGAATTTCGTCGTCACTGGAACTTTTAGAGGGTGAATACACTTCATGATACCTAACGCGATTTGTACCTAAAATTAAAATATATATACCTGTTCCAACCATTGTGCTTAATATTAGGCCCATTATAATCCAAATCGTTGTTTTCATTTTTATGGTTAACATTTGGAATGTTATCAAAGTTATTACTTTCTACAGGAATAGCCACATCTTTATTCTCATCATTGTCAGGGATGTTGCAGTTACTATCTATGAAAGAAAAAATAAATAAAAAAAATTTAGAATAGTTTTGTTACCATTCCGAAAATCCATATGTATTTTACCCAAGCCGTAGTGGTGGCAGAGCATATCGGCACTACACTCTAAACAGGTCAATTCCCTTACAGACAAAACATTAGGTGTTGGTCGCCACCAGCAAATTTCATGGCATTTCATTGTCCCTTTAAAAGTTGGGAGTTTCTCTGGTAACAATAACTCGATGTTGTTGTAGGCTGTTTTGAAAGGGTGACGTTCACAATATCGAAATTCATTATATCGAATTCAAAATATCGAACACTTTTTATCGAAAATCAAAATATCGAAAATCAAAATATCGAAAATTAAAATGTCGAAAATGATAATATCGAAAATTAAAATGTCGATTTGAAAATGTCGAATAATTAAAATTTCGAAAATTAAAATGTCGAAAATGATAATATCGAAAATTAAAATGTCGATTTGAAAATGTCGAATAATTAAAATTTCGAAAATTAAAATATCGATTTAAAAATATCGAAAATTAAAATGTATGATTAAAATCGAAGTGTATATGTACAGAGGCGCCTCTATAGATAAA